TCCCCTCTCCTCAGGTCCCCACCCTGCTTCTCTGCCCCCAGCTCTCTGCTGCCAACTCTGCTTTCTACTTCCTGGCCTGCGAAGCCTCTGTCCCTCGCCCACCCCCACTCCCAAATCCCAGCCTGAACTCTGCCCTTTCAATCCCAGCACAGCCCCCCTCCCCTCCCCAGGTCTCCCTTACCCAAGCAAGGCTCCTTCCTCAACTGGCCCTGGCTCTTTGTCCCCTTCTGCCCAGACCTCCCTGCTCACCGCCTGGGTCTGGGGGATTGCTGGGATCCACCTGCCTGTTTGTTTCCCTCTCAGCTCAGCCGAGACTGCTGCTCTCTGCCCCGAAGCTGTTCCCACCTATTCCCAGACACTCCACGGGCCCCACCTGGCTGCTGCCCGGCCCGCCTCAGCCCGGTTCCCCACCTATCTGGGGTTCCATGCTGGCCGCGGCTCCCCTCCGGGCCCCATCATTGCTCCTTGGGTACCACAGCCTGAAGGCTGTCAAGTGCTTCTCCAGATGGACATCTGCTGTCCCCTGCTGGTCAGTGTGTTGTAAAACATCAACAGTTTTCCAGGCCCGGGATGCCAACCGTGTGACCCTGTCTTACCACAGGTGTAAGCCATTAACATGCTTTTTCTAACTGAATCTTCACAACAATGTTATTAGGTAGGTTCTGTTATTGTCCCCATTTTACAGATCGGGAACTAAGGCACTGCGATGGCAAGTCACTTAACTAAGGGGTAGAGCCGGGTTTGAACCCAACACGATTAGTAACAGGAATGACAGCAGCCGGCATTCTCCCGGCTCCTCCTTAGGGTTGGGAGCCGCAGTAGGCTCTGCAAATGCATGGCCTCGTTAAACCTCCTCTCCCCGTTACACACCCGAGTACCCCAGCTTCGTCCGCCCCACACCCCTTCCGCAAGCACAGCCTGCATGGCCCCCCTCAGCGGGGCCCTCACACGGGTGCCCCTCACGGTGCCAGCAAAATGCCCATAACGCCCCCCACCTGTGTCCTTCCCCAGCACCCCCATGTCCTACCCACCCTCGCTGCCGCAGGCCGGTCCGCACCCCAATCCTCTCAGTCCCTCCTCCCGCCTCCTTCAGCTAATTATCCCTCTGTCTCCAGCACGCTCCACGCCACCCTCTCACTGTCCCCTGGACTCCGCAGGAGAGCCCTTCTGCAGAGGGTGCTTCTCTGACCTAACGGAGGGTGGGCCCTCCGTCCCCTCTCACGGCTGCCTGTGTCGTGTGCTCCGGTGTGTGACAATTTGCTGTTGTGGGCCGGGCGCGGTGGCTCACGCCTGTAACCCTAGCACTCTGGGAGGCCGAGGCGGGCGGATTGTTCTGAGCTCAGGAGTTCGAGACCAGCCTGAGCAAGAGCGAGACCCCGTCTCTACCAAAAAATGGAAAGAAATTAATTGGACAGCTAAAAATATATGTAGAAAAAATTAGCCGGGCATGGTGGTGCGTGCCTGTGGTCCCAGCTACTCGGGAGGCTGAGGCAGGAGGATCGCTTGAGCCCAGGAGTTTGAGGTTGCTGTGAGCTAGGCTGACACCACGGCACTCGCCCCAGGCAAGAGAGTGAGACTCTGTCTCAAAAAAAAAAAAAAAAAATTTGCTGCTGTGGGTCTCACTGGCTGCAACGTAAGCTCCCGGAGGGGAGCTGGGGCTGCTTTGTCGCTGTGAACCCAGCACCGGCTCAGAGCTGGCTCGTGGGAGGTTCCCAGGACACACTCGTCGAAGGGGTGGAAGGAACAGAGGGAAAGGTATTATTCTCCCTGTGCTAAAAGGGAGACCACAGAGGCCCAGCATGTGAAGGGACTTGCCCGACATCCCCCAGAAAGTCAGTGGAGCTGCAGGGTCCCCACCGCAGCCCACGGAGCCTGGACGCGGTGCTCCTTTACCACCCCTGGCTGCCGGGAGCTCCTGGGAAGTGTCCGGTGCTTTGCACACGTGGGCTCGCTTGAACGCACCGCAACTCTGAGAGGGAAGGGATGTTCTCCCCGCGTGGCAGGTAGGTGTGCCGACTCAGGCTCACCCTAGTCATGGTACTTTCCCTAGTCCCTGGACTGACAGGGTGAACGCTGGATTCGAGCCCAGGCTTCTCTCTCTATTCTTCCTACTACAACTAACCTCGGTCCACACATTTTTAGTGAGCACCTACTAAATGCCAGGCACCGTGCATCAGCAGACACATCCCCGCCCTCCTGGCTCCCACATCACTACGGGATGAGGAAGGAAACAAATGCAGGGACCAGCACGGTAATAATTAGAAGTCTGTGATCAGCCTTGGAAACTTAGCAAAGCGTCCCAGGGCTCCTTCCCTGGCACTCCCCTGTCTACAGGTTTCTGGAATTTTCTTCTGCCCCCCAGCCCTTCACCAGAACCTCCCTAGTGCTCTGATGTTGGCTGGTTCCAAGGGCCGCCCCTTGACTGCATTCCCAAGTGCTCCCTCCAGATCACCACCAGAGGACAGCCGTGCTCCGTGGTAGGTGGCGTTTCCACCAGCATCTCAGGCCTGGGAGGGGAGAGAGGAGGAGAGATGCAGAAAGGAGGGGAGGGGCGGAGACGAACAGGCGACCCAGGCTCTGCAGATGGAGTGTCTAAGGGAATCAGCTCTGTCCAGGCCTACAGCAGAGTTGCTTATTTGTTTTTCCTCCCTGTCTTCCTCGTACTTTATCTTCTCTTCCTTCATTCAATAAACTTTTAAAACAGCTTTATTGGCTGGGCACAGTGGCTCACGCCTGTGATCCTAGCACTCTGGGAGGCCAAGGCAGGCGGATTGTTTGAGCTCAGGAGTTCATGACCAGCCTGAGCAAGAGAGAGACCCCCGTCTCTACTAAAAAAAAAAAAATAGAAAGAAATTATCTGGACAACTAAAAATATATAGAAAAAATTAGCCGGGCATGGTGGCACATACCTGTAGTCCCAGCTACTCGGGAGGCTGAGGCAGGAGGATCGCTTGAGCCTAGGAGTTTGAGGTTGCTGTGAGCTAGGCTAACACCACAGCACTCACTCTAGCCAGGGCAACAGAGTGAGACTCTGTCTCAAAAAAAAAAAAAAAAAAAACAGCTTTATTGTGATATAATTTATGTACCATAAAAGTTCACCCACTTAAAGTATACAATACAGTGATTTCTAGTATATTTACAGAGTTGTACAACCGTTACTGTAACCTGATTTCAGAACATTTTCATGCCCAAAAGAAACCTTGTACCCATCAGCATTCACTCCCCAGCCCCAGGCAGGACTAATACACTTTCTGTCTCTCTAGATTTGCCTGTTCTGGACATTTCCTATACATGCACTAATACAAAATATGATCTTTTGTGTCTGTCGTCTGTCTTCTTTCACTTAGCATAAGTGTTTTCAAGGTTCATCCATGTTGTGATATGTATCAGTATTTCATTCCTTTTTCTTTATTTCTTTAGAGATAGAGTCTTGCTTTGTTGCCCAGGCTGGAGTGCAGTGGCTCCATCATAGCTCGCTGCAACCTTGAATTCCTGGGCTCAAGGATCCTCTTGCCCTAGGCTCCCAAGCAGCAGGCCCACACCACCACGCCTGGCTAATTTTATTTTGAAAAAGTTCCTTTGTGCAGACAGGGTTTTGCTATGTTGCCCAAGCTGGTCTTGAACTCCTGGCCTTGAGTGATCCTCCTGCCTTGGGCTCCCAAACTGCTGGAACTATAGGCGTGAGCCACTGCACCCAGCCTCATTCCTTTTCATGGCTGAATTATGTTCCTTTGTATGGACAGACTGCATTTTGTCTATCTGTTGATCAGCTGATCAACATTTGAGTTGTTTCCACTTTTTGGCTATTATAAATAATCCTGCTGTGAACATTTGTGTACAAGTTTTTTTAAATACAGGTGTAATTCACATACCATAAAATTCACTCTTTTAAAGAAAGGGTGAATATACTCTCATCCTTTCAGTAAACCAAGTCAGTGGTTCTTAGTATATTCATAAAGTTGTGAATGTATTAATCATCACCACTATCTAATCCCAGAACAATCTCATCATCCCCCCGAAAATCTATGCTCCTTAGCAATCACTGCCCCCCATCCTCCCCACCCCAGTGCCTGGTAACCACTAATCTACTTTCTGTCTGTATGTATTTGCCTGTTCTGGACATTTCATATAAAAGAAATCATACAGTATGTGGTTTTTATGTCTGCCTTCTTTTACTTAGTATAACGAGTTTAAGGTTTGTCTGGTCATAGCATGTATCAATACTTCATTCCTGGCTGGGCACGGTGGGCACGCCTAGCACTCTGGGTGGCTGGAGGCAGGAGGATCGCTTAAGCTCAGGAGTTCAAGACCAGCCTGAGCAAGAATGAGACCCCTGTCTCTACTAAAAAAAAAAAAAAAAAATAGTGGGCATGGTGGCATACGCCTGTAGTCCCAGCTACTCGGGAGGCTGAGGCAGGAGGATCACTTGAGCCCAGGAGTTTATGGTTGCAGTGAGCTATAATGACACCACGGCACTCTAGCCCGGTGACAGAGCGAGACTCTGTCAAAACAAACAGACAAACAAAAAAACTTCATTCCTTTTTGTCGCTGACTAATAATGCATTGTAATGATACACAGCATTTTATTCTTATATAGGTTAGCTGACAGACATATGGGGTGTTTCTACTTTTTGGCTGTCCTGAGTAGTGCTGCTGCGAACATTCATGAACAAGTTTTTGTGTGAATGTTTCCATTTCTCTGGGGTACGTACCTAGGAGTGGAATTGCTGTATCACATGGTGTCTCTTTGACTTTTTGAGGAAGTGCCAAGCTCAAAGTGTAGACTAAGTGGAAGAAGGAATCGGAAAGGCTACACACCGTGTGATTCCGAGTGTGTGGCATGCTGGGAAAGGCAGAACGTGGAGACAGTAAAAGACCGGAGGTTGCAGGTGCTGGGAGAGGGCGGGATGAACAGGTGGAGCACAGAGGATTCTTAGGGCAGTGAAAATACTCTGTATGACACTTTCATGATGGACACATGTCATTGTGCACTTGTCCAGCCCCATAGAATGTACGGCAGCGAGTGTGAACCCTAAAGTAAACTGCGGACTCTGGGTGACGGCCATGTGTCAAAGGCTCATCAGTTCCAGCAAAGTAGCAGTCTGGTGTGAGATGTTGGTAACGGGGGCAGCTGTGCATGTGTGGGGACAGGGGCCTGTGGGGACTCTGCATCTTCCTCTCAGTTTTGCTGTGAGCCTGAAACTGCTCTAAAATAATTAAATCTTAAAAAAAATCTCCTTGTTGCTTTGTGAGAAGGAGACAGAGCAGGACACCTGGAAGGGGCTCATTGCCACCGTGCAGGCGAGGGTGGCGGAGGCTGGGGGTGGAGGGGCTGGGGCTGCACAAACCCTGGAGGAGAGCACAAGGCGCTGCCGATGGCTGGATGCGAGGGCTGCAGGAAGACAGGCACCTTCTTCCTTCTGGGCCCTCTCACTTGCGAACGTGCCTCGAGGCCTCGATGTGCTGTGTTGACCCGCTGGCCCCTCTGGGGCCAGGACTGATACATCTCTGCCTTCGGCCTGGAGACCCAAGAACTCTCCTCCAACAGGAAGCTCGAAAGTGGCAGCCAGTCTTTGTCAAGCTCTTTGACATCCCAGGTCCTGCCCCTGGCACTATGGGGGCTCAAAGAATACCGGCGTCCTTGGCCTCAGGAGTTCAAGCCTCGTGCCCCGCCGTGCTCTGGCTGCTGCTGGCCACTCAGGACATGTGCCCCGCTCATGTCCCACCAGGGCCCCCGCACTCTAAGCCCTGCAGCAGGTCCCCGTGGCCCTAGCAGCGTTTCCCAAACTGGAGCACTCCACAGCCAGGCTCTCCAAAAGGAAAAGGATGCTTCTGGCCAGACAGTGATGATTCAAATTATCTTTATTATACTGTTCCTAAAACATAAAGCCAGGTACAAACTTCTTGGGATTCTACACAACCATAGAACCAAATTAAATACAAGCACGACTACAAATCCAATAGCAAGTAGATGAACAGCATTCATTTTCATTTAATGTGGTGGATGAGGTCATTTTGCAGACTCCAAATCATCCACTTTGAATTATGCGCATTTTCCAGGCTGTGCCAATGTGCTGTTGTGTGCTCGGCTTTTGTTGTTCCCTGGGAGTTCCTGCACTGCTGTGTGTGCTGACTCAGTTGGCCACTTCTTTCCCATTTGGGTGAGGGGAAACCTCTCAGAGGGTTTGGCCTCCCTCGCTCTGGGCATATACATCCATTCCTCTCTTTTAAGCCTGGGACTGTCATAAGGACCTTCCTAGTCCCCCTTCTAAATTTGTAAATTCCATTTCTCCCTTTACCAAACAATGCACATCAAATATAATTTTTTTGCTATAAAAAGGAATTTATTTTTATAATTTTGCAATTGCAATTATTTCAATTAACAAGGTGGGTGTGGGTGTGCGCGTGTGTTATTTTGGTGGTGGTTGTTGTTACTTTAGAGTTATTAAAATTCTTTTTTTCAGGGCCGAGACATCTTTCAGGGCCTTGGAATTCTCCCAGGCCCAAGGGCTGAGCTCAGGAGGATGGAGAATGAATGGGCCAAGCCGAGACCTGCTTCTTTCTTTCCTCACCAGCCTGAGACAATTAGAGTAGGGCAGCTGGCACCAACCTGACCCCAGGCACAAACCAGCCTGGGTGCTGAAATGGGGTTGGCAGCTCTGGGTTATGAGGTTGGGTCACTCAGAGAAGTCAGGCTATGCTTATATTCATTTTTAGATGATCACTAAAATAAAAGCCCCAAATTATAAAAATCCTGGTGGAGCCAGATTCTTGGGAACATGCTTGGGGCTCCCCAGAGGCCATGACCTCAGTTTGAGGCCCAGCAGCCTTCAAGGTCACGTTGCAGCTCCTTGGCCTGATTCCCGAGTGAGCACATTGTGGGGATGGAGTCCCTTGTCAGCCGTTTCTCTTCCCATCCTTGCGCTGTCTGGTACCCAATGTGCTGGCAGCTGCTCCTCAGCGAGGCTCTTGCCCCTGCTGTTGTCTTCGCCTGGAATGCCCTCCCTTCGGTCTTTTAGATTTTTTTTTTTTTTAAGTGTTAAAACATCACACGGGTCACACATGTTCACTATAGGAAAACAAAAATAGTCAGTAATCTCATCACGCAGAAATAATTATGATTAAATGATGACGTGCTATATTCTCTTTAAATTACAGTTTTCCCCACGCATATGCTTATCTTAACAAGATGTAATAAATGCTGTTTTTCAACTGAAGCACTGTAAGCAAACACAAATGTAGAGAATGCTATAACATATGCTCAGGCTCACAACTGAGTTTTGACAAATCCTAACATTTTGAGCATATTTGCTTCAGCTCCTCTTTTAAAAAAATAAAAGCTATCAGATATGGTTGAAGCCCCCCTGGCCTTTGCTATCTCTCCCCTGTCCCCCTCCACAGAGTCAATCTCGCTCACAGGATTGGGGGTTACCGTTCCCATCCACGCATCGGAGATTGAATGGTATGGTTTTGCACAAATCCTCCTGCAACTTGATTTTTGGGTTTGACATTATGTTCTGGAGAGGTGTTCTCATTAATCCATGTCACCCTAGTTTGTTCATTTATATTACCATTCACAATTCTGTGTAATGAATAGATCTACCCCAATGGAATAAAAACATACCTCCACAGAGAGACTCGTACGCAAATATTGACAGCAGCATGCTCCTGTAGACAAAAACTGGAAGCAAATAGAAAACAAAATTAAATGAAAAAATTAGCCGGACATGGTATCACATGCCTGTAGTCCCAGCTACTTGGGAAACTGAGGCAGGAGGATCTGTTGGGCCCAGGTGTTCGAGGCTGCCGTGAGCTTTGATTGTGCCACTGCACTCCAGCCTGGGTGAGAGTGAGACCCCCATCTCTTTAAAAAAAAAATCCAAAAGGTAACTGGATAAACCAAATGTGGTCCATCCGTACAGTGAAATACTCCTCAGCAACAAGAAGAAACAAATTCCTGGTACATGGATGAAGCTCACAGACTTTATGCTCAGTGAAAGAAGCCAGATGCAGACCACATAATGTATGATTCTGTTTATGCAAAATTTCTAGAAAAGGCAAAACTAGAGAGACAGAAAGCAGATGGGTGATTGCCGGGGGATGAGAGTGAAAGCAAGGATTAACTGCAAATGGGTACGAGGGACCTTTTGGGGTTGATGAGATTGTCCTAGAACTGGATAGTAGTGACAGTTGCACAACTGTGTGCATTTACTAAAAATCACTGAATTATACACTTAAAAGAGGTGCACATAATGGCATGTGAGTTAAGCCTCAATAAAGAGACACGACAGAACAAAAAAGACATGATTCCTACACTTGTAGGCTTTCTAATCTAATTGGGGCGGTGGGCAATAGACAAGTAACCAAGCGACCAAGTGTAGAATTGGAAATTCTCATAAGCACAATGAAGGAAGTGGGGTGGGCGCAGCAACAGAGAACAGAAGGGGACCTCCCAAAGAGGGCGGCCAAGGAAGGCCTTTCTGGAGAGTGACATTTGGGACAGGTGTTTGTAAAAAGGCCTGCTTGTTCCTTGAGTTGGCATCAACCCCCCGCCAGTGTGTTCTTGCAGCCAACGCCAACATCCCCATCACACACAAGCTGGCCGGCATGCCCACACCGGCCTGCCCCTGCACAGGGCTTGGGGCACGGTGGACAGTGGAGGTGTCTGGGCGTGTGTTAGGCAGGGAGGCAGGCAAGGTGTGGGAGGTGTGGGTGACTTCATGCTGCCCCAACACCTGCTGCACAAATCGTGTGAGTCACGGGGCAGGGATGGCTGCAGGACCTCCAAGACGGGCCTCACCCAGGTTGTCAGGAGAGCCGCAGGCTCCAAGCGGACCTGCCCGCCCACCCACACCTCCTCTCCCTGCCGAAGACACTCCCCTCCTCCTCATGGCCTGCAGTTCTGGAGGGCAGACCTGGATTCAAACCCCCACTATGCCATTTTCTCGCTGCATGACCTCAGACTTCACCCAGCCTCGCTCTCCTCGTCTGCTGAATAGGGATGTTGCTGTATGGGGAAGAGCAGATCTGGGATCAGAACCTGCGTCTGCTTGGCTCCACTGCCCCGCCCTTTCCGTCATGCCTGGTCGAGGGGCTCCTTGCAACAGGCCTCACCGAGGGGCTAGTTCCATGTTCTCAGCTCTATCCATGCATCCAGGTCACCTGGGAGTTTTATAAACTCTGGGGCCCATCCTCCAGACATTTGGGATTAATTGACCTAAGATGGGACCCAGGCAACAGTACCATTTAAAAATTTTTTATTTATTTATTAGTGATGCAGTCTCACTATGTTGCCCAGATTGGCCTCAAACTCCTGAGCTCAAAGGATCCTCTCGTCCCAGCCTCCCAAGTTGCTGGGCCTGCAGGCGTGGGCCACTGCACTTAGTCAGGACTTAGCACCTTTTAAAAGCTCCTCAGACGATACAAATGAACAGCTAGGGCTGAGAATTGCTGATCCAACCCCTTCATTTTACAAATGAGGAGACTGAGGCCCAAAGATTCTGAGTGACTTTCTCCATACCCAAGCCCCCCACTCATATGCAGCTGCAACTGGAGTCTCTAAGCTCTCCCCTCCACATGAAAGAACTGCTGTGATGATGTATAAAGCCACATGGAAGATTGGAGCTTTAAAATCAGACAGAGGTGGGTTCAAATCCTGCATAGCCACTTACAATTTGTGTGACCTGGGGTAAATCACTTCACCCCTCTGACCCTCAGAATCTTCATCTATTAAATAGGGGTCATATGAGGGCTCAATAGGATAGTGTATGCAGAGCAGAGGTGCTCATTAAACAGGCTCCATTCCCTAGAAAAGACCTTTAGGAGACTTTGATAGACATTTACGGAGCACCAACTACGTGCCGGTCCCTGTTTCTGGGGGCGGGGCTGAAGAATTGGGCTCAGGCAGGGGAGACAACAGAGTGAGCAGAGCCAGCAGACTGGGCAAGGCAGAGTGGCAGGTGCTGCGTTAGCAGTAAGGCAGGGGGCTGTGGGAGCACAGGCGGGGAAGCCCAAGTCAGACCTGGGAGATGAGGAAGGCTCCCTGGAGGAGGTGATGTTCTGAACTGAGTACTAACAAGTGAGTTAGGAGTTAGGTAGGTGAAGAGGTGGGAGAAAGGCATTCGTGGGGGAGGGAACAGCTTGAGCAAAGGCTCCGAGGCCAGAGACAGATGCTTGGCCCATCTCACCTTCTGCAGCTTGACCTGAAGTCTTGAGATGTGGCCGGGAGCACAGGGGTAGGGGTGGCTGTAACGAGGGCCTCGTTCCTAGTACCCTAGATTTGGGGAATGAACATTTATGGAGTAACTACTTTATGCTAAATCTTTTGCATTTGCAAACACACTTAATCTTCAAAGCAACCCTTCAGGCTGGGTGACATCATTCCCATTTTAGAGATGGAGTTCAGAGAAGTAAAGAGACTTGCCCAGGCTCACTCGGCTGAGGTCAGAATTGAATCAAGGACTCCAGAGTGGAAGCTCATCCTCTGGTCTTGCTATTTCATGCCCTGGTGCCCGGCCCTAGTCACAGGGGGTGTTTTGTGGGTCTGGCCCATCCACCAGTCTGGTGGAAGCCCTGAGTTTTCACCCTTGGCTCTGGCTGGCCGGGCAGCCCCTGTGGACTTCCCATACCCTTGAGTCAGTGGAGCTGAACAGCCTGGCTCTGCTTCAAGGGCACGTGACTCGATGCCTTTCTCCTGCCCTCACCTGCACCATCCCAAAGACTGTAGCTACATCAGTTAAAGACCCCAAGGAGGGGGACATAGCATCTGGCCTGGGATTGCCAGGCTTAGCTTTGCCCTTGAGGCCAGCTCCCTGAGAAAACTCCTCAGAACATGAATATTCAGGCTTAGGAGAAAAGTTAGGCTCTTCCCTGAGTGGCAAGGCCTGGCCGGGCTCTACCAACCCTCCACCCTCAGCTTGCCCTCAGTCCTCACACTCTAGGCGCTGCAGCCTTTGGAACTTTCTTCCAGTCTCTCTTGGTTCTCTTTCATGTCTGGGTCTTCCCACTGCCTAGAGCACTCTTCTCTTCTCTCTTAACCTGGGCAACTCCATTCTTCACGCTCTTCAGCTCCCCTGACCTCTTCCACAATGAATATCTCTAGCTCCAAGCACCTCTCCCTCATGTGACCAATCATGGTTGCTAAGTTGGTCTTAATACCTTCTCCCTCATATCTGATCCACCTTCCCTGACCTTGGTCCAAGCTAGCAACTTACAAATCTACATTATGAAATGTGGTGTTTTTGGTTTCTTTTGTAATCAAAATGT